TGGTCATAATTCTCCTGTTAAAAGGAGGATTGACCTTCGGTGATAGGACTTCCCTTGGCCACAGCAATACTTGGAGAGGGAGCATGAGCTGCAAGCGTTCTGACACCAACATTCCCAGGAGGTGGGAAGAGTGACCCAGCTCTCAAGGGAACAGTGGGCTGACACACCCCACCATTTGCTAGGGAAGGTTTCCAAGAAGTTATCCTCGGTTAAGACAGAATCTAAATGGTAGAAAACACATCCACGTAATGAAGTTAGGTTTGTGTATGCATGGTATGGCTACAGCCCCAACAAGGCATAAAAGTCTAGGAAAATCCATCGACAGTTACTGCAGCATCATCACCATGAGGAAGGCGTTGAGCTGGAGAAGGCTGGTGGCATCAGCTGGATGTTGTTAGTAGTGACAAAAAACATGGAAGTCCTAGTGGTATATTTCATTGTGGATATTAACATATTGTTCAAATCTATGAAAGAGGATAAATACCAAACCCAATCGTCTATTGAAAACCTGTTCCAGCTATAGCGGGAAGGAAATATTTGAGATCGGCAAGGCTGGAGGCAGGAAGACTGTACAACAGCCCAGGCGTCAGATGATGAGGACAAGAGTAATCCCACCCCCAGGGGAGGTGTTTAATAATTTCACATTTACTGTGTGTTATTCCACATGATATGTTTATCATGACACTTCCACATTATTATTTTTTTCTGATTCATGTTCTCTTGGGTTGTGTGGATTTTATTTTCATCTGAGAAAAATCATTTGAAGTTTCCTGGGAAGAAAAAGGAGAAATATGTGTGTAATATGCTCAACTCTAAGCTAACCTACCCATTTACAACACGTACTTTGAATCAGTATATGTCAAGAACATAAGGACAAATTTTTATTTTTTATTTTGAAAATAAGGTCTGTGACTATTGCTAAAAAGCATTTTCAGAATAAAATGTCTAAGAATCGTGTGCAATTAATCATTGTGGGGAAGAGAATTATCCTTTTTTTAGGAATGAGCCCCCTTATTGCTTTTTTAGTGCAGAGTCAGTTTTGAGACCTTATACATAGAAACAGCAAAAACAGACTCAACAGACTCTCTCTCTCTCTCTCTCTCTCTCTCTCTCTCTCTATATATATATATATATATATATATATATATATATATATATATAATATTGCATACACAATTGTGTGTGTGTGTGTTTGTGTGTGTGTGTAGGAAGTATATTAAAAGTGAAAGAGATTATCAACTTGAGAGTAGAGGGATTCAAATAAGAGCAACTGGGAGAGGCTGGAGGGAGGAAAGGGAAGCAGAAAGTAAAAGTATTATTTCACTTAAAAACATCAATAAAAGAAAAAGAAAAAGAAAACCTTACACATTTGATTCAAAACATGAATAAGGAGAGAGACCTCATTGGATTAGCTTTTCTTCCGTCGTGTAGGTTACTTTTCTCATTTTTGTAATAAAACACCTGGTAAAAACAACTCAGGGAAATGAGTATTTTGAACTATCGTTTAAGAAGTACAACAAGTTCTCGGGGGAATGACTTACTTGGTTGTTAAGGGCACTGACAGCTCTTGCAGAGGTCCTGGGTTCAAGCCCCAGCAACCACATCGTACTAAGAACCAACTGTAACCCCAATTTCTGTGGATATGATTCCCTTTTCTGCCCTCACTGGATGCCAAACATACATATGGTGTAGAGACATACATGCAGACAAACATCTCTACACATAAAGTGTTACAGTCTACCATGAAGGACAAGGAATGGCAGTGGTTGTTTGATGTGTCTGATGACATATACAATCAAGAATTGGAGAGAGATGGGAAATGGAGCCATGCTATAAAGTCTCAAGGCCCATTACTGAGTAACCTACTTTATCCAGTGAGGTCTTCTTAAAGTTCCACCATCCTCTAATCCTGAGCCCTAAGCCTGGGACCAAGTGTTCCAACAAAAGAGCCTATGGGAAACATTTTATATTCAAACTAAAAGTCTTTGTGGGGAGGAGGGATGAGTAATATCTTCTATGGCATACTTCCTTTAACCATCTACCAAAGCAGGCTTTGCATTTAATGCATCATAATTCCCTATTTGAAGAAAACAAGAGTCCTATACTCAATTTTGTGAGAGGCAATTATGGTAGATCTAGCTAGCTTTTGTTAGGTCATGGTAAGAGATAAAGCCAGAGTTACCCACTTTGTTATGGCAATACTATCAGAGGAACCACCGTGAAAAAGATAATAGTAAAAAATGCCTCTCCATTTCTGAGAAAAATTGTGTGCCTTTTAGCCTCCACTTTCTTTCCTTTAAAACCTGAAGTATTAAATTAAATCACAGTCCTAGCTTCATAATTCTGATTCTCAAGTTTCAAACATCTTTCATGAAAGAAAATTCTATAATATACATCATTCTAAGCTAGGAAGACCTAATATTTTACCGTAGTTCTGTATCATATGTGTGAAAGACATGTGGACAAAGAAATCATAGATACCAAAAGTTCATAGAGAATTTAATAAAGGTAGCGGGGGTGGACTCTACCACCAAGCCAGTGGTCTTGCATGCATATGAAAGAGTAATGAACACTTGACACCAGAAGCCTTGCCGATGCCAGCTATTTCAAGGTTACCCTAACTTTATCCACCAAAGACCACCCAACCGCACATGCACACACATACAAACACAAACACAAACCCCTCTACCACATCGGCATTACTACCATAGCAAACTGAGCGGCATTTTGGAAAGGAACCAGGGCAAATTCTTCAGAAGCCTAGAAAAAGACTAGACTAATTACTTGCTAGTTCTATTGTCAAGCTGTCTGACATTAGCCAAGTTTCATACAGTTTCAAGTTTCAGGTCAAAACATTTACATAAGAGTACCCCTGATGTTTTACAGTGGTTTCTCTTGTTGCAAAACTCTCAAGATATTGACCTCGCTAGAAACATTTCTTCTTACACCCCATTGCATTTTATAAATGTCACTTCTTTGGTTTCTGGAGCTGCCATAAAGTATATCCTTGATCCCACCTTGAGACTTCTATTTTTTATAACTATTCCCTATTCCTCATCCTTTATTACGTGACATCATCAGTATTTGTTAAGAAAATAATTATTAGATATCCAAAACTCTAATTGTACACATCATATGCTAAGAAATGAGTTGTGCCATTTAAAAAAAAAAAGATTCGGATTTTAGTTCCCAAAGATTGATATTACTGAAAAAGACAAATAAGAAGCAGAAATATTTGCTCTCCGAGGACACAGCCAGCCACACTGGATGAAAAAACCACAAAACTTTGTTTATATCACTATAAGTTACACGCACTCATCTGTCACCCGTTTGATGTTCACTGTTATGCTTACAAGACAGATGGGGAATATTGAGACTCTTTACACTTTACCTCTATTGCACTTCCTCTTTACCTGTTATGAGATCAAGGCACATGTGACTGAGGATCGTTATGTGATTAGTATTGTATCATGAGGTCATGAAATGACACCAACTACAATAGTCTCCAGGTCTCAAAGAATGCTAACCAGGATTTTAGGAGCTGTCAGTCACAGAACCTGAAGACAAAGTCTGTGTGACCGACTGAGAATGGCCAGTGCCTAATCAGGATCTTAGAACATGACAGTAACACAGTAAATGTTGGAATAAATTTACTATAGCTTCGTATTTTCCACTTTTCCTAAGCTATGAGCTGCTCTTTGAGAAAATAATGAGAACCAATTGAAATTAATAGTTTAGTTTGTCTATTTCCACATCATATTACAACTATAAACTTCATCATTTAGATTTATTTTTGAGGTTTATTTTATTTAAAAATCCTGTTGATAATGCTTTATCTCCTCCGATGTGAATCACTCAGAAACATGTTTCCTCTCGCTATATTGAAAGTGATTTGAAAAATTAAAATTTAATAAGAGCAAAGGAAATAAAACCTTAAGATCTTTTGTTAGAAAGAGTGGATCATTAGAAGGCATTGAGTCATAATTTTCTATTATTATTCTTAGATACATGAAGTGACTACACATTCATAGCAATTAAAGTGGAGTCACACATGCATCATTTAATCCATTACTCGCTCAGACTGAAGCAACACCAAAGTGCCAGTCTATGAGACCCATGCCCTGAGAGGGAGCCCTACATATACACATACTGCCCAAAGGACCAGGACCCACAGACTGGATTGCCCACAGACCTAGGATAGAACCAAACATGACTAGAGGGGGAAAAATAATGTAATAATGCATAGCAATGTTCTGCCATACTCATAGATTGCTGCCTAGCCCTATTATTATTAAAATCTTCATCCAGAAGCTCAGGAAACAGATGCAGAGACCCACAGTCAAACATTAGGCCCAGCTCAGGAAAACCTGCTGAAAAGAGGTAGTAAATGTTTGTAGGAGGCATAGTTGTCAAGGACATTACAAGAATACCCACAGAATCAACTAACTGCGCTTATGGGAGCTCAGAGAGACTGACCCAACATCCAGGGAGTCTACATGGAACTGACCTAGGGCCTCTACATGTAAGTGACACTTGTGTAGCTTGGTCTTCTTGTGGGACCCCTAACAGTGGGGGCAGGGGCTGTCTCTGGCTCTTCTGCTGGCTTCCCGAAACCTACTCCTCATACTGGGCCTTACACAGCCTTAATACCAGGCAAGGTGCTCAGTCTTACTGCATCTAGACATGCCATGTTTCACGGATACTCATGGGAGGCTTGCTTTTTTCTAAGTAGCGGAGAGGATTGATAGGCGCGGAAGAGGGGGGTGACAGAAGGGAGATAGGGAGCGGAAACTATAGTGGGATATAAAATACATTAACATTTTTTTAAAAAAAGACCAACATTGAAGACTGTGAAAAGCCCTTACAGGGTTTTCTGTATTTCATCATCATAGGTCTAGACAAATAAGCTGAATTTTCACTGTCGGGCATCATCTCCATTATTTTCTGCTCTTTAATTCAAGCTCCTTGGTGGTAAGGTCAAAGTTCTGCACGTAGCTTACCTATAGTTCTGTTTTTCATTGCCTATGTGGAATCTGTCGTACTGTGAGTAGGCTCGGTTCCCTTCCCAGTCCATCAGCTCAATCCTCAGCATGTACTGCCTTTGACTGGTTATGGCAAAGATAAACTCATTCCCCAGCCAGTATTCACCAGAGGGATTCCCAAAGCCCTGGGAAAGAAGAGAGACACACTTGTTACTCCGGAGGAAATTTGGTCATGTTCAAATCTATTTTCTAAATAGTCATGTCCAATTACCTTTCAAAGATGGCTTTCTTTGTCTTTTTACACTTTGTTTTCATTACTAACTTATTCTAGTACTAGTCTGCTGTTTCTCTCCAGTGAAGCTAACATCTAATTCTTATCATAAAAGCTTGTTTTTGTGTGACATTCTTGGGTTAAATTAATCCAGTTAGTAGACTTAACCAAAAAATAACTCCCAATCCAAACTTCTTTTAGGCAGTTTTATAAAACTAAGTTGACATTTTTAAACATAATTTGAATATTTTCCAATGAATATTATCATGAGACTTCCCGCTATTTAATAATGTTGTATTTGTTGTTATCACTATGCAGAAGCCCAGTTATACTATAATTTTACTGATGATTCATTCTTCTAGTGATCTCATGGTTGATTTTAATAATCGAGTCTAGAAACCAGTTGGTGTTATCACTTAGATTCTTCATTGACAGAGATGTGGGTTTGGAGTCAGAAGGATGACTTAAGGGCTGTTGAGAGACTGAACTGAAATCATTGTATCTGAATTTCACTGTGGTCTTATAGTTTTCTTTAGAGTCACCTAAGTCAATACCGTCAAAATTTCAATTTTGTGTATGTGTGTGTACATGCACGCACGTGATTGTGTGAGAGGGAGGGAGGGAGGAAAGGAGGAAGAGAGAAAGAGAGAAAGAGAGAGAGAGAGAGAGACAGAGAGAGAGAGAGAGAGAGAGAGAGAGAGAGAGAGAGAGGTGGTCCACAAAGCTGATTCCTAATATTGAAGATACTGAAAAAAAAAAGGAACCTGAGAAATTGCTGATGTAGATTTGGGGCATTTTGCAGTTGCTCAGAAAGTCCTTCCATGGTAATACCTGATGATCAGTTTAATTTCTTATGCTCACATTTGTTTTATTGAAACTGTTTTGGGCTCCTAGCAATAAAAGCCATGCTGTATTTGTGAATTCTCAAATACTAATGAAATGTGACGCACAGTGAGCAACAAACACTAAATTTTACAGACATTGAAAGGGAAGGAGGACATGAAAGAGGAATATAAAAAGATCAAACGTTTGTTGTAGTTTGCACTGATATTCAGAGATCATTCTGTTGAGTCTCAGTCGTACAACCTAGAGCTGGTAAAAATAAAAGTGTCAGCTTCTAGACTAAGCGTCTGAGAATCTTGCATATAATTCCACATATGGGCAGACTTCTTAATCGTGCCAACACACACTAACATTTAAAAGACCAGGTCCTGTAATCAAAGGATATATACATGGTTGTTTTATGAAGAAATCGACCATGGTTGATTGAGGCATTTATTAACGAAGGGTTAATTTGTGCTTAGTGTGAAGGAGTGTTATAATAGTTACAACAGCATTGATTGACTCAATACAGGTGATATAATATGGAAAATGTTTATTTCTCTTCCAACTTAACACCAATTGCAAGTAAAACAGGTGTTTCCTTAACTTTTCCCTCATTAATCAACCTTAGAAATGAATCAGTGTACACTATTTCTTTTTTTAGAATATGCTGGTGCTGAGTGTCTACCAATAATTCTCTAATTATCTAATTTGTGTCATTGCTTCTTACAAGAGAGCTGCTTCCCAACAATGGGCAATGTTTGGTATCAAATCCCTTTCTGTCAAGTCTGCTACTGCAATATCAACAGATCACAATCCACTGTGTTTCAGCTCAATGCTTAGAGCAAATGCCTAGAGTGGCCAGAGTTTGCTGCATACATAGACACACTCACAAATATATACACACATACACACACTCAAACACACATAGCTTTATATTTAAAGTTAATGTGTGTGTGAACATTTTCAAAGTTATTCTCTGATTTAACTAATTTTTATCCAACTGCACAATGTTCGTCTGGATGACATTGAATATGTAGTCCACTAAAAGACTATTTGCATAACACAGAGAAAAATATTGAATTCATTAAAACTAGTACTCCACTGACTCTGTGTGTGTGTGTGTGTGTGTGTGTGTGTGTGTGTGTGTGCGTGTGCATTTGTTTATGTGCATGTAAGTCTTCACACAAGTGCTTGTGGAATCCAGAGCTCAATGTCTGGATTTCTTCTTTTCTTTTCTTGTGTCCACGTTACTTATGGAGACAGGATCTTTCCTGAACGGGAGCTCCCATCCTTGGATAGAACTGCTGGCCTTCAATCTCTGGCATCGTCCTCTCTCATTCTCCCAGTGCTGGGACTAAAAGTGTTTGCCACAACACACAGATTTTTATGTGGTTTCTGGGGTTGTAATCCCAGCCCTCATATTTTACTTCCTTACTCCTAAGACACTCGGGTCACATTTGGTGAAAACACCACAGTAGCAGAAATTATCAGCCATTTTTAGGATGTGCTAAAGACTTGGCAGCATCTCCCAGGAGCGAGTGCTCCATGCTAAGAAGTACAGCATTCTCCTGCTGTAAAACAGGCATAGAAGAAAAAGTTACAGGGACTGAAACTCGGAGTTAGCGCTCTTCGGCTGCAGCAATTGCCTGAAAGACAAGGAGGACCACTGGGATTTTCCTTGCAGTTTTCAACTCCGACCAGCCAGTGCTGTCCCTCTCATCACTTGGCAAGTCCTGTGCCACACAGCATTGAAACAAGGATTCAGCAATCATATTAAATGTGAGTAGACAGACTGGGGATGATGAAGTGTTAATTCTTAGGTCTCATATTTCCATAAGTGTTGTGTGAATAAAACTCTCCAGTTTCCCCCAGGGGAAAGAGTGTGGATCCTGAGTGAGCCTCAAAAGGGGACAGATAAGAGAGTCGTTCTTACAAATGTCCATGCTCTCTGTCAGCATGCAGGTCTAGGGAGCACCTGCCTGTACTCTCTCACTCTCTATAAGCTTGTAGATCTGGGGGAGCACCAACCTGTGCTCTCCCTCTCAGCATGCAGGTCTGAAGGAACACTAGGAAAGAGAAGTGTTACTTGCTGAATAGTTGCTTTTGTTTTCCTTTCAGGGGGACACAACTGAAGAGAAAAACACTGAAATTTTCCACTAGAAACCAAATTTTTAGTTCCTGGATCTCACCACCCCCAAAACTGTCTGCATGAGCAAACCGTTTTACTGCAATGATAGCGGAGGAAGGAAACTGTCTAATGGCCAAGTGCGGTGGAGCAGAAACAACTGCTTCGTCATCGTGAAGATGACAGACTTGCCAAAAAGGGGAACTGGAAATGGGTTCCCACATTAGGAAACCGCTGGGCAGTTTATCAGGCACATCCATGGCTCTTGTGGGGGGAACACAGGCTTGGGTGGGGTTCAGTAACCTCCCCCTTCTCTCTGCCACAGTTGAAGCCTTCCTTTCCCACACATTTGCAGCAGAGCTTTCTACTTCACTTAAAAGACCCGGGTTCCTCAACTGCAGAAAAGATGGTTAAAAATACGTTTGTGCACAATGATATAAGAATGAAAATTAGCCAAGGCTTCTGAGTGTTCACACAGAAAAGGCACTTAAGAGAAACCGACTGAGTTCTGTCACATTACACAGCCACGTTTTGCTTTTTGGCTTTGTTCTGTAAGATGGCAAGCTATTTGATGGGGACAGGAATCCTCCTCTGTAAGATCTAAGTATCCCAGGGTCTTGTCTTGGCTGAAAATTAATGTGTATATCAATAGCATTAGTCAACAGGCTTTTAGACACGAATGTGTTATTATAAGCTGAGAGTTGCTTTGTGGAACAAACATTGCTATTTTAACCCAAGATTTTAATTGAGAAATGAAAACTTAAAACCAACGGTTTGTACAAATGGAGCTTCAGTGGGGCACAAACGGCACAAAGGACAGTGACCACCCCCTCCTCAACCTTTCCTGCTCACCTGTGAGAAACAAGTTCCCAGAATGAAGCTAAGTCTTCGAGCTGAACCTTCAGTAAGGCTGATAAATACCGTTAGTGACTGTGGAGAGCTTGTGATGTTGGAGGTCCGGAACCTAATCACAATTTACCTTGAGCCATCTTTAGCCCTCCAAATAGCCATTCCTTGCCCATTTCTGTGTCACCTAATGTCCTGTGACTAATAAGTAAACCATCTCAGAACACATTAACTTAACAAAGTCGTAGTTTCCATCAAAGGGCTGAGGATGCTAAGACAGTGTCTCGGGCCTACAGGAGACTTGCCCTCCTCGCTGCTGTTTCCTTTAATGTGTTTTACTATGTCTTGATTTATGAGTTTCTCTGTTCTATTACTATAAAATATTCATGAAATTGCTTTCATGGTGGACCATGGAATTTGGGGTAACCTAAATCTGTGTTCCCAAGTCATGGATCCTATGCAAATCACACTATCTCTCATCCCCTTTGAGGTCAGAGCTGTCTTTGATAACACATCTTAATGGGAGAGTATCTGTGTCCTTTGCCGCCCCTTTGACCCAATTTCTCCCATCTCTCCCTTCCTATATATCTCACATGCTTTAGGATCTAGGAGAAGAAATTTTAAGTTCATAAACCCACAGTAATAACTAATTGATACCTCTAATGATTCCTTTACTTGGAAGTGAGTATCAAACAGAATGGAGGGGGTTACTTATGAATAGAGATGAACTATTCTTCCCATGTGTATATAGTTCAGAATGTCGGAGATGGGCTTAAAGATCAGTATATTTAAACAGTTCCACATACTGAAGGTGGAAATTCATATAAATACAACATTAAATAACTATGTACAAGTTAAGAACAATATATTAATCAGATAAAATTATCTGAATAAAAGAGGCATGAAACCACATCTTTGTAGTGAGGAGCTGCGGGCAGGCCTGCTTTTCATCCCACACGGCACCTGCATGGCTAGCTTAGCCCCGGAAATAACAACACACAAATTGTATTCATTTAAGCACTGCCTGGCCCATTATCTCTAGAGAGTTAGTTACTGGCTAACTCTCACATCTTGATTAACCCATTTTTAATAATCTGTGTAGCACCACAAGGTGGTGGCTTACCGGGAAGGATTCAGCATATCTGACCTGGTGGCTGGCTCCATGGCGTCTTCCTCATTGCCCTTTTCCCAGCATTCTGTTCTGTTTACTCCACCTACCTAATTTTCTGTCCTATCAAAGGGCCAAGGCAGTTTCTTTATTAACCAATGAAAATAACACAGACAGAAGGCCCATCTACATCACATCTTTGTTCTAGTCTCTGTACCATGACTTTTGATTATGGTACTAACAGAAAAAAAAAGCCAAATTTATGCAAAAAATATTGTAGTGTAAAACTCAAAGGCCATTTTTATATATGTTTGCATATAGTAACTTCTCACAGGTCAGTGTTTTATTTTAAATACCCCATAAAAACATAGAACATGATAATCCTGTACAGAGCTCTGTTCCGATGTTCAGGAGGCAGAGGTTGACCAGCACTAGCAGAAGGAGCAGATTCTTCTGTTGTGGATAAGATACAAAGACTCCATTCCACACGCAAAAGAGAATATTCAGCTATGTCAATCATAATTGCACAAAGAACTTTGATGCCATGAATCAGATTCAGTGCTGATTAATTTCATTTGTTTTCCAGTAGTTTAATAAAATGGGGGGCACAGGAATTTAAACGAAAACAATACTGACTTCCAATTGGCCTCAAGAGTCACATTACACTTCTATACTACAGGGGAAGGAAAGGACCAATATTCATTAATTTTGCCAAAACCTGGAAAAATGTCCAATTTCAGCTTGCACTTTTTCCAAGTTAATAAAATAATTGTCTCAGATACTTTATTTGTTTTGTCTGATAATGCTCACAGGAAGTGTTGACTTTTTATAGAAGAAACAAATTGAAACCAGACACAGGCTTTGTATCCTATGGGCTTCATCTTTCTTTCATACAAATTATTAAAAAAGCAGATAAGACTGGCTTTTCAAAGGTTTTCTTTTCTTTTATTTCTTTCTCTCTCTTTTTTTTTACTCCACAGTTTGAGCTCAGGTTAGAAGTTTCTCCTTCCATGGCTGAGACACCAAGCCTAAGAAACACTGGAAGAAATTTTGACTTAAAGAATTTTAATTTCTTATTGCATTTTTTCAATATGGACATGCAGAAATGCAATTTAAAAGAAGCTTTTAATTTCTCTCCACAAACAAGAACGCCCAGAAAGTAAGTAGGTGCTCTCATGGAAATGTTTGTTTCAATAGGAAGCTCAGTTTATAGGGATAATTGTCTTCAAAACAAACCAACTTTGTCCCCAGGGAGTTAGTGACTCCCTGTCATAAAGCTGCCACTTAGAGAAGTTGTTGCAACTGTCTGGTTCACTGGCTACATACAGAAGGACTGTTGGTGAGTGTGGTGTCCCGTTGTCCCTAAGTGCCCCATTAGAAGGACCACCACATACTTCCCTCTCAGCAGTAAATGTCTTTACAAGTCTGTAACCCAGATTTGCTGGATTTCCGCCTAAGGAAGTGTTAAGAGACAACAACGTTCAGAAGTTCTCCTTTGGGCTAAAGCCAATGCTGAGAATCATGTACTGTGAAACCTTCATGTAGGGAGCAGCTTACAAATAAAAAGATTGGGCCGATGGCATTAACACAAAATTCTGGAAAACTTATTAGGAAAGAGGCAGTAGGAAGGTATCAGTCAGTGGGAAGTGAAGGACAGAGGAACGGCCATCAACAGGGAAAGGAACAGAGGTCACACTGCTTACAATGTCCCAAGAGTGGAAACTAGTGAGGATGAGAGAAAGAACTGCGTGCACGCAAGTGTGACTTTCCCCGAGCATGTCCACCCGCCGCCAAGGAAGCTTGCAGCTAGTTTCCAGCAAGCGGCACCAGGCAGGCGTGAGACATGAAGAACCTTTCATGCCTCTACCCTGCTTGGTGGAATTGTGCTCTTTTGTTTTCAGGTGAAAGAGAGACTTTGAAAGAGCTAGGACACTTTTGACCCTGTGCTCTGGTGAATATTAACCAAGTTTTAACATACAATGGATTCTTTCAATTTAGAAAATCTTCATATTCATTATTTTTTTGCCAAAATGTTTAAAAAATTCAGAACTAATTTACTTTCTGACCATGAATAATTGAAATAGAGGCGATAAATTTTTCAAGCTTAAATAAAACCTGATAGCTTTTCTTGTGTAAGCATAAGGGAGAGGAAAAATGTCAGTGCTTAACGAATAATTCCCGTCTCTTTCCAATAATAAAAAATCAATTGTCTAAGAATGGATTCATTTGTTAAATACTCAAAAGGCATTAATCAATTCCATGCCTAACTAGTCAGTGTATCTTGACACTGCGAGTGTTAAACAGGTAGTCATGATGACAATTTCACATTCATTTTCCTGTTTCTAATATAAGTGGTAATGTAAGTCAGAATGATTTGACTCCGTTTATTGATTTTTATTCTCAGTTGTAGTCACTGGCTCTAGACAGTGTTTTTCACTCAATTCAAACATGCTGCTTGCAAACTCTGAACTAGCCTCTCTGTTTGAAATCCTCCAGGGCACAAAGCACACTGTACGCACATTCCTGATGTAACTAGCCTGTGGCACACCCTGCTGAATTATACATGCTTGTGACTTGCAGCTTATACTGATACACTCTAATTGTGTTAAGTCTTGCTCCTTCAAGGCAGACAGCACAGACTGAGCTCATAGTCAAACAGTTCCACCTTCTGTTCAAGTTGACACCTTTCGTTTTCAGATTATTTCTTTGGTTTTTTTGCCACAGTTACTTCAGCAGAATTTTTTGTTGGCTTTATCTATTGTTTTGTCTTACCTTCATGAGTTTTTAAAGTTAAGATTTCAGATTTGTGTGACTTTGCAGTACTAACTTGCATTTAGGACGCTCACTGAATTTCTCAACAAAACAGGGACAGCATGGGAGACCTCCGTCTACTTTCTTTAACACTTTGCTTAGCCTGGTTAGCCATGTACTTAATGCATACTTTGTAATCAACCAAACAGAATTTTTGCATTGTTTGCTAAGATATCAAGACAGAACTCTGGCTAACAGGGCATTCTGATCACCTTCTAGCTTTCACCTTTGGAGAGAAAAATTGTTAGAATGTCAAATCAAGAATTACATGGAAATTTTAATGTAAAATAATGAGAATCCCTTCATAAATGACAACTTCTTTCCTGAGAATGGCTCTGAAAGTTCACTTCTGAACTTGAGAAATGCTAACTTTGACATGAGAAACCTGGCAATCCTTAGTCATTGCACCAAGAGAAGTTCAGGCTAGTCACATGCTAAGGTTTAGTGAGACACTCTTATTCAGAGGGCAACAACATGAAGCAGTGTGAGGGAGGCCACAGTTAGGTGGCATCCATCTTGTTCCATGACCCGTGACACTGCACAGCTTCCTGTCCTGCTCGTGTACCCAGCCTGGGTAGGAACTCTAGTTTCTCCCACTAGAACAAATGCGGACAGAGCATAACAGATCACCAAATAATTATAATAATGCATTTTTCATTCTATTACACATCAGGAAATAATTTACTGAACATGATTTATGAGCGTTTTGTATCTAATGAAAATAATATCTTTAATGTAAGCATTGTTATTTTTAAATAACTCAAAGGCATCTAAAAGGTCAGGGTTTATCATATATTGTGGGCAAAGATAACCTTATGATAAAGACATCAAAGGGCCCTGTAAAATTTTCCATCTTACCATTTTATATTCTTTCCAGCCCCTTTGGAAGTCCAGACTTCCGTCTTCACGGTGTTGTATTACAGTCCAACCTCCCCCATTCACATCCATATTGCAAAATACCTGAAAAACAACAGAAAAATAATGGTACATGGAAATTACACACAACTTAAAGAAATGTATGGCTGATATGTTTCAAAATATAAGTGGGGTAGACAGGTCTAGCCTGAAAGAAGACAGAAAAGCTATATTTCAGGCATACTATTGGTTACTTTTCCCACAATTTACAGTTGTGCTGCACTTGATAATGTTCATCAGAAATGTTTATTTCTAAAACAGAACATTGGCCTGCAGAAAATTAATAGCCTTAGTTTCAGACCACAATACAGTTTTAGAGGTTGGGATGTAGCTCAGCGGTAGCATGCTTATCTTGTACATGCCAGATCTTGGGGACAACCTCTGGTACCCATCCCCTCAAAATTTAAAATCTCAAATTTAAATAAAGCTTGTGGAAGTTTACACTTAAAAAAAATTACTAAAATTCCCAATGTGATATACTATTTTTGGCCAAAATATAAAGTTCAGTATTCTTTAATCTATTATTGTAAAGTCAACACAATTAAGAATAAAAGAATCAAATTTCTATATTTTATTGACAAATTCTCATATGCTTACATACATATGCTCATAATACATACTGTAATAATTACTCTTGCTTTATAAATTTTATACAGGAGGCAAAATTTGGTGAATGAAGGACAGATTGTTTAAATTTTAGTAGCAAATGATATAGCTCAGTATATGCCTCCTGACTCTGGAAAGCTTTTCTTTCCTATGTAGCAGAGTTACTTGAAGATTTAATGCTAATTTCAAAAGAGCTTGTATGCAATAACATTTATTTGAAAACTGATTCATTCTCGCCATACTTCTGCAACAGTCTTGTTTTTGGAAGCCTCTGTGACTCAAGGCACGTGAATATGGCAGTCTGATTTCTCCAAGACCTGCACCATGGGGAATGACATTCCTCCATCAGTTGAATAGTAAAGCATACCGAAAGTTAGCTAAGTTGTAGGATTGAGATAAGAACAGTGAGCAGGCTCTAAGGGCAGAGTGTTTTCCCTGAGGCATTAAGTTAAAGCACAAATGGCCAGGGACATAATGACAAGAGCTGTCATTCACAGCAAAAGCTTTTAGTGCACGTCTGGGTGACAGGAACTAAGACACACAGGCCTGTGTGTGCATATGAATCAGGACAACTGGTCTCCCGAGGGCTTTACCTCCAGTTTGACATGTACCCTTCTGCCTTTATTACCCCTAGTAATTGACTCATCTCAAAATTTGTACATTCTAAATTCCCCTTCTATTCCCAAGATCACTCTTCTGCTAAGCTTCCACTCTTCTCCATCTGCTCTGCGCCCTCAGTGTGACTCCTAACAAGTCTGCCTTTAATTATAAATATTCATCTCCTCCCCCCAATTCTAATGTACTCATCCACTTATGGTTTTCACTCATTAATTCTTGGGCAATGAGTGTATATTACGAAAGAGGAAATTTTGACAAATATGACATGGATCATGTCGTCAACATGCCTTGATATTTCAATACTGATTGCTGTCAACGGGGTAAGAAGGCAGTAGGGTCCGTAATTTTCCAGCTTCAGTGACCTGAGGAATGATAGCAGGAGTGGCAAACATAGAGACAATACGAAGAGCTAACAAGTGAAGAAGAAATGGCTGATACTTTGGACACTTCGTGTTGCACGTGACATGGGCACCCAGTGGAAGGAGTAGCAGATGGTAATGAGAGATGAGATAATCTACCGGAGGCAGACCAAAGGGGCATGAGCAAGAAAATGGGTGGATAAAGAAGAGCCGTAATTTGAAAACTTAATGTGCATTTTCTAACTTAATCCCAGAACAGCTTTCAAAAGTATGATTATTATATTTATGCCACAAATGCAACGCTGGGGTTTAGGTTTTGTAAAAGTAGCCTTTAGTGGTTATACTTATTAACTATTGGGAAACCAGGATTTGAGTTGGATTTTAATTAGATTTAGGGTTTGCGGCTTCTGTATACCGAACTCAAAATTATTGGTAGTGATGTAACTGAAAGCCAATGTTGACATCATTAAGAAGAATCTGTTACTTAAATAAATAAAGAAAAAGTGCTTATAGCGGGAGGGGGAAATCCATGAGTGGGTTTTAGTAAACAATTGGTACAGATAATATACATCAGTAACTTGTAAATGGGTACATATTTTGTTTTATTTGTTGTCATCTCTAGTTTCTCAAGCAGTGGGCAACCTACTGTAGATATTAAATGAATGTTCATTACACTCATAAGAAAATGTGGTTACCATAACCCCAAGAAAATGATCTATATGTGGGGTTGGGAGGGAGAATAAATTAATCAGCTATTTGAGAGAAATCAAGTTAAGTGAATATTTTCAAATATCTAGAAACTTTAAGTGAAGGTGCCATTAGTGACCTCGGCCAGAAAGATTTCAGAATCTTTATAAAACTAAAGTCAGACAGAAGATTTTAAGCAGAGCATGGGTAGAAATTTAAAGAAGCACCTGGAGAAGTTAACATTTGAAAGTGATAGAAGGGAAAATATCAGGGAAACATTCTGCTAGGGGAAACAAATGCCACTGGTTTCTTAATTAAATTTTGCACCACATTAACTGATTAATCCAAAGAAGGAATCTATTTATCTGTCTATCTATCATCTATCCATCTGTCTCCCCACTCTTCTCTTTCTCCCTTGTGCCCCCCACCCATTTATCTCTTAATGGAACTACATACTCAGGAAAGGACTCAGCACATTGATAAATGTACAAAGTGTAGACAAAAATTTGCTATGCGCTTTCAAAGACAATCACTTGCTAATGTAATTGTACGCACTTGTTTTAAATCACTCACAGTTTTTTCCCCAAACACAACTTTCCTTTTAAAAGGAGGCGTCCAGCAACTTGACATATTAAGTGCTGAGAATGCATTTTAGGGGAACACTCAGAGAAAGACCGAGGGAGAAGTCACCAGGTTGAGACACAGAGAAATAGGTTAAGGGATTTAAAGTGGGTCTGATTCCTGTGAACACACAAAGTAACAATGATAGTAGATGCTGGCCGGATGTGGGGACAACAGAGATCAGCAGACCTGAGTACTAGATTAAAGTTGTAACTCAGCTTTCTCTCAGTTTTTCCCTTCCTTCCTTGCTTCCTTTCTTCCTTGCTTCCTTTCTTCCTTCCTTCCTTTCTTCCTTCCTCCCTCCCTCTCTCCCTCTCTCCCTCCCTCCCTCTCTCTCTTTCTTTCTTTCTTTCACCCTTCCTTTCTTTCTTTCTTCCTTCCTTCCTTCCTTCCTTCCTTCCTTCCTTCCTTCCTTTCCGTGTGCATGTGTGGAAGGTTACGTGTACATCGCGAACTCACCGCTGTGCTTAATATGAGCACTGCCATTACTCTTAGATCTTAGATGTACTTTATGGACAATATAATACAGGTTTATATTATGCATTACTTATTATACATATTTAGTATATTTACTGCACTGAAGTATCATTATGTGTGACACTGAACATGATTTACATTTATAATTTATTATTAATAGAATAGACTATTCACAACAAATCATGCAAGTGTTCAACAATTTGCCTAGCGAATATGATTCTTGGCTGACTGTTTATTAATACTGGCCCTGTGAAGATTGATCATGCTAATTTGTATTTTATATCTGTTTAAGAATTTGGATCCAATATTGAAAAGAGATAAAAGAAACCACCATGTTTCTTTTGTTTATCTACAGTCTAAAGAAGAAGAAAAGAGCCTATTCCTAAAAGATTCAGGACATTTCATGGAACAAATGACCAGTTACAAAAAGATTTTGACACAGAAGATCCAAAGGGTTCATTTGCTGGTCTTGTGTGGTCTGTGCTATCTGGCATGGTCTTCCTGTGACTGGGGTCCTGCTCCATTTGCTCCGTCTGCTGCATCTATTGATTGGATGACTGGAGTTTGGCTCTGTCCGAGAAAAGGCTGCGCCGGCTTCTTCCCCAGGCAAAGCCAAAGCTTTCAAGCACTAAACACCTTTTAACTTAGTACGGAGATTTAAACCCAAACAAAAAGGGGGAATTTGATTCGCATACTTTTTTATGCTTCTATGCTTTATACAAATTGGAATGATTAACCTTCTGGATGTTAATTATTTTTCCATAACCTTAAATGGAAAAGGTTTAACACATTTGTTACAGTACTTTTTCAAGAATTAGAGGAACTATGAGTTCCGAAACAAAATTTTTAATATTTTAAAAATAAGACTTATGATTTAATGGTTTGTTTTTGGTTGAAGCAAACTGACTACGGGGCATTTGGCTTTAAAGACTTGTGAAATGAAAAGAGACATTCCATTTTCCTCTCCTGCGCCTTGAAGGGAACACAGAGGGAAATAACCACAAACCATGAACACTATGAAACAGAAGAAAGATATGAAAGATAGAATTCTTGTTTTCCATCTGCTTGAAAAATTAAATCATCCCGAGCTAACACTTTTGCCATCCACTTGACATCTGTAAAACAACACTTTTCAAACTTTAGCATGCATTTCTTTTTTCTGACATAGAGCAATGTCAATCAAAATAGGCAGGCAGCACAAACAGGACCTGCAAAGGTTCAAATCTCAGTGCTGAGAACAGGGAGCAAACAGAAGCTCCCACCCCTCAAAGGGAACCTGTCCCTATTTGACATTTACTTGCAAAAGAAAAAAAAATCTCCAAAGTCACCTCACAGGAAAGATTAACCATGCTTAAGGGCAGGCCCTACTCCTAAAGGTGAACTGGCAACAAAAAAGGCCTTCTCTGGTATTTTTTTGTAGGTGTTTTTTCTCAGTTCACTATGTCTGGGCATTTTATGTATTATTGGTTCTTTGCTTGTGTATTATTGTTTCTGATTTTGTGTTTTTATGTTTTGAGGTGTGTATGTGTGTGTGTGTGTGTGTGTGTGTGTGTGTGTCCCCACACACGTACATGTGGAGTATCTTGTGTTTTCTCTTTGTTAATTTTTATTATTATTATGGCTTGTTTTCTTGTTTTCTAAAAAAAGAAGGCAGAAGGCATTGAGTTTGGTGAGTAGGCAGGTGGGGAGAATCTGGAAGGCGTGAGGGAAGAAAACCATGATGAAAACATAGTGTGTGAAAACTCTGTGTGCTAAATAAAAATAAATGCATAAAAAGTTCTGGGAACTGCGGTCCCTACTCTTCTGAAGGGTGAGCATTTGCTGGCAATTGCTTTCTCTCTTGTCTTAAATACCCCAATTTTACTGATTGCTTCATACTCCATATCATATACTCGGAACTCAATTTTAGTACTGTTAGTTTTTAAAGACTTCAGTTTCCTTAACTTCTGATGAACTTGTGAGAGCATTACAAAAAGAAAAAAAAAAGAAATGAGCTTTTGGTAAGTTTATTCAGGGGAAGTAGCAGCTGTTTTGTTGATGGTATCCTAGTCTATTTGGGAGGGTCTAATAATAAATTTTCTCAATGCCTATTATTGTAATTAAGAGAATATCAATGATTTGAATTAAAAGAAAGAAAGTGAAACCTTATAGAATATGGGGAGTGAAGTAGATTTTAATAAATTGTTCCCTCATGCCACACATATGTCTTCTTCAACTTCATATAAAAAAAATTGGTCGATGAAACTTCAATCATCACCAATGTAAACAATTATATTTTTAGAACTTCTCTGAAACTGGAAACAGATGCCTGCTTTCAAAGGCAATGTTCAATAGTTGCGCTATATATATATATATATATATATATATATATATATATGAAATTAGGATGCTAGAAGCACACAACTTCTTGAGCTGTTGAAAAGGCTGTGAGCATGCCATAGAGAAACAAAGTTCTCAGAGCCTTGTCTGTCAACCTGTTAATGATCAATATTTTGAACTGTTCTATTAATCATCTTCTTGATTACTTGAATGCAATTCATAAATATTTGTTCTTTCCAAGGCCATGCTAAATGAACATAGTAGGAGATTTCAAATAAAATGCACTACCAGTCATAAAAAGACTATGCCAGTATGAATCAAACAATATTACAACTTATTGGAGAATCCTATTGGGGGAAGATAAAAAATCATTCCTTTAAGCTTCTAATTATGAATACTTTTTACTTACATGCTGGAAAGGTTGGAAGATCCTATTCTAATGCTGTAGCTGGCTCCTACGTTGAGCCCCTCAAGAGAGTGTTTTAAAATTACATTTTCACAAGTAATAAACAAATAATTAATAATTGCATTAAATGGATCTTCTAAGTTGTTCTCCAATACAATTATTTAATAATCTAAATTACTAAATCTGTAATGTCATGTATCATTTGGCTGAGAGTTAAGTAAGTGTGAGATGCATGTTTAATGAGTTAGATAAAATATTCTTTTTGCTCTAACAGGAGCAGTGGCTTTGTGTGTAGCCTGGGTCTCATTTACTTCTCAAAACAGTTTGAAAGGGAGCTGAATTATGCTTTTATCAGAATAGAATGATATGAATTGAAGTTCACAGAATGACTCTTTATGTGTGCTCCTGTCCTTCTCTGGGGGGTGCACAGCAGCGTGAGTGACAGAGTGAAAACAGCTCTCAGGACTTGTTGGCACAGTGTGTGTGTGTGCACGCGCATGTGTGTGCGTGTGCGTGTGTGTGTGTGTGTGTGTGTGTGCGTGTGTGTGCGTGTGTGTGGTGCAGATTTATTTTTAGAATATCAAAACCCCCTCCTTACTCTCAGCTTTCCTCATCCTTGTATATTTATTCATATTTTATATGTTTCTTTGTTTCATTTTATTTTAAGCCACAGATTTCTTATTCTAAAGACTAATGCCCAGAACCCCCGCAGGAAAAGCAGACAATATCGTGGTGCCTTTGTAAGGCTGAGGTGTGAACACAGAGAACTGCACATGCGCCTTTACCCCTTCCTGTGCTTCCTGTCCCACCTTCCTCACCCCCATCTGTAAAGCAAAACTGAAGGATTCTTTTCAGAAGAGAATTTTGTTTCAAGAAAAGAGAAAAATAGTGGGACAACTTTACCCAGTAGCCCTTATTCAAATCAGTATCAAGAGACAAGGTCAGAAAGAGATCCAGCCTTGGACCGGATGTAGACTTTAGGCCGTACACCTTGCCTTGATAATTGCATGATATCTGGTACAGGGGTCTCCAAGATTCACTTCCCTTGCTTATCAAAAGTCACGGAAATCAGGGAAAAAAAGTTAGGCTTGGTGAATTCTAGGTAGACTTTCATTATTAGTGTATTCTTTCCTTCATCTGTGCATTCTAGTGCTTATTGATCAAGGACTTGCTACATGCAGAAGACATGCTTAGCCCCAGGAAATCAGAAATAAAAAGCCACAATTCTACCTTGTAAAACTTTAATAAATAGAAATGTCACGCAAAACTCCTGGGGAAACCTAAGAAGGCCTTTCATGAGCATTTTCACAGGATTCAAAGAAAAGGAAGGTTTATACATAGATGTGTCAATGAGCAGAGGACAGTGTTCTGACCCAGAACAGACTTCCAGCTTGGGACCTTGTATGTCCAGAAACACCCTTGCGTGTTAAACAGTAAGCAGGTCTATTGCCTCTGATCCCACTGCCTTTTTCTGCCTTCCCTAAAGGTAACTACATAACCTCCTTTAAAGAGACATCTCCAGCACTACATTTCCTTAGTTCTTGGTAACTGTCTTCTTTTGGAAAACGCCTGTCTTGTCTATCACACTCAGAACTGTTTGTCTTGTATTTGTGTTTAGACAGTAACTGGTAAATGAACGGCACCTCATTCATTGTTCTGAGCGAAGGCATAAATGAATGATGTAATGGACAAGTTCGGAGGGGTCTCTAAAAGAGCAAGGTAGCAAGATATTGCTTCATTGCTTCCATGTTTATTTTGAAAATTGGCATACAGATGAGACTTTTCTTCCAACTTGCAACACAAGTATGTATGAAGGGTACATGCTTTCATTATCATGTGTTAAGATAGAATACATTTCTCCCACATCAATAGGATCAATAATTCTCTAAGGAACTGGATCTGGCCTGCTCTGATGCTGGAGGACATATGTTCCCCGACATTTTGGGACTTTAGAAGATAATTTCCAAGGCTTCCCCGTGCAGTGAAGGTGCATGTGACCAACAAATATTTTTGAGTGCTATGATATTCAAGAAATGGAAGAAAAAATTATATGACTAATGTATCAGAAGTACTGGGAATAGAGGATGTCTGTGAAAGAGGGTTTTCATCCCCCATGGACCAGAGAAAGCACTCTCTCTTAGAACACAAAAGAGCAGCTGAGGGATGTGTGTGTGTGTGTGCATGTGTGTGTGTGTGAATGTGTGCACATGTGCAAGTGTGCATTGTGTGCGTGCGTGTTTGTGTGAGTGTGCATGCATGTATACCAATGTGTATCGTGTATAACAAACTCATAAATTTATTTGATCGTACAGAAGTTCAACTAGGATCTGCTTTACTTTACATAAACAAGCACTTCTGATTTTACCTTTTTGGGTTCTGGCATATTATTAAAATAAATAGTGTAGATTCCACTCTTATTAAAACCAGCTTGATATACATCTGCACAGTCTCGAAATGGTTTCTCTTCTTCTCTTTTTCCTCCCTTTAGCAAAACTGCAAAATAAGAGAGAGATTATAATATACAAATAAGAATATCAGCATCATTACAATCCAAATGGTCTGCAGACATAGCAGGCTTTTGCAGCCTTCACACAATATCTATATTGCATTTACTGAGAAATAAAACATACAACCCCAAAGTAACTGGCAAATTGAAAAAATTTTTTTAAAAAGCTGTGAATCAATTTTTATTTATATATTAATCTTACATCCATTTCTTTACTTTGGTTTTTCTATATCTTCATAAACTTCATCTTGATGGACAAATTACATAATTATATAATGCTTCCTATTGTTAGCAATTTATGTCGATGTTTCCTGTCAAATTTATAAAACACTTCTATCTACATTTCAAAGAGAAGTTTATTTATTTATTGCATTGATGGAAATTTCATGTCTCAGGTACATGCTCTACCAATGAGTTATATCTCAAACCCCAGGGTAAAAATATGCAAAAATATCAAAAACAGCAACAATGACAACAAAACCAGAAAGGCTTTCTGTTCTTGCTGGCGCACACCTTCAATCCCAGCACTCGGGAGGCAGAGGCAGGCAGATCTCTGTGAGTTCGAGGCCAGTCTGGTCTTCAGAGTGAGTTTCAGGACAGTCAGGGCTACACAGAGAAACCTTGTCTCAAAAAACAAAACAAACAAATAAAAATCAGGAAAAACAAAAAGGGAAAACATTTAAAAATACAGTATTCTTATTAATTCTTTAAGAACTTTCTACATTCATACAGTGCATTTTGATTGATTGCCTCACCCTGCCAACTTTGTGTCATTTTTTTTAATGACTCATACAGTCCAATACTTTATGCTCATATACTGCTCAGTGAGGGACCACCCGCTGAAGCATAGTGAACCTGCCAGGTCCACACCTTTAATACAAACTAACTCTCCTTCCTTCAGAAGTCATCAATTATCAATAGCTCCTCAGCTACACGGAGACGCTCGTGAATCCCTGCTTCTCCCATCCTTGAATTTGACTGGCTTGATCTCATGAAGATCTTGCGCAGAGAAGCAGAGCTGCCACAAGCTCATGAGTGTCATGGTTCTATCCTGCCCAGATGGCACTGTGTTGCTCCAGTCTTCCTGACCTCTGCCTTCAATGGCTCCTGAGCCTTGGTGAAAGGAAGTGATTATGTATGTCCCATTTGCAGCTGAGCAGTCCACAAACAGGTGTTTTCTACACTAGGACCAGCTGCGAGTTTCTACATTAGTCACCAACCATACTGTCCAATAGTTGTATGAATGTAGAGGGCAGTTTGAGACTATGTCCATTTTGTATCATAATAATAGCTTCACCTATGAGGCTTGGGTTGTTGGACATAGTTACAGTACCAGGAAATCCTTTCCTCCTGTACAGTGGGCCTGAAATGCAATCAGAATATAGCTGGTCACCCTCATAACCCTTGGGCCATTGTTGTACTCTTGCGACCGTATTGAAAATTGTTCTAATAAAGTTTATAGGATTTATTTGATTTCTAGAATTTAAGGAGATGGATTTCTAAGCTTATTCCTAAACTTAATTTCTAAATAATGTTAATCTACTCATTTTGCATCATCTGTGTGATGATTTAGCTTCAGGGTATTTAACCAGGTACAGTTAAGTTTTCTTTCTAGGTTTTAAATAGGCTTATAAATTGTTTTGCACTTCCTTCCCCCCCCCCCCTATAATTAAGACAGGTTCTCTTGTGTAGCCCTGGCTGTCCTGGAACTCACTCTATAGATCAGGCTGGCCAAGAACTCAGCATTGCCTGCCTCTGCCTCCTGCATGCTGGTATTAAAGGTGTGCACCACCACAGCCTGGCTACTATTTCATCCTTTCAAATTCTAGTTGTTTAGGAGTTTTTGACTTTAGTTTTTAAGACAATTTCCAGAAATCCTTTAAACGAAATCCAGAGAACACTACTTCCTATGTCCAATGCTTTAAACATCTATATTACATATGATAATTTAAATTCTTTCTTCAAAAAGTACTTTGGCCATGCCAGTCATTACTTCATTGTCACCCAAACTAATAATGAGTTCTTTGGCGAGAAGAGCCTTAGTCTATTCACAGAGCCTCACCCACTTGTAAGTCCTCATTAAGAAAATCAAACTACAATTGACCCATTTAATAGCTCTTGGCTGACAAAGAATGTGCTGTAGAAAACATCAATGATTTAGCATTCTAAAATATACATAATACTTCCATAATTGGTTTCATTTAATTAAGGACTTTTGTAATAGTAGTCTTTGTTTAGTGACTACGTGTTCAGTCACTTAAAAAATCACAACGTTTCAACATAATAAAAACATCAAATATCTTCCATGAGTAACTGCTATTAAAGGGATCTGAAAAGTGTGAAAAGGATATAAAATATTGGCTTGAATTAAAAGCAGTAGAACATTAGTTATCCTTTTATAAGTGATAAGCAGACTAATATTTGTGGAGTGAGTTATGTCAATGTAAATAGTTTAAACTTTCAAACTGCTAGATTATGTTTCAAAAAGCAAAGTATTTGTGTCAGATATGTTGCCATAATGCAAAAATTAAAGTTTAATAATTCATCATTTTGTAAGGAGCTAATGCCTGCTCTGGTGGTTTTGCAGTTACGCTTAAGTGCTGCTATCACAAACTGCAATTTCAACACAGAATAAGTACACACTGGACAGCTCATACGACAGTGAAGAAGTGTCTATTGCAAAATGTACGCAAAGAATCACTTAAAAACATATAGATAAATGCTTACCAAAAGGCAATTTTTAATGGCATTGGGCTAAAAGCAACAAAAAGTTTGCTAGGTTTTGCTCATAATAACTAAACGGACCATTAGTTTTCAAAATCATTTTTTCCTAAGTACTCAGTATTTGATCACTTCTAATGTGCAAATGTGGAAAACTCTTCATTAAGAGCCCCAAATAGGGATGCAAAGAAGTATGAACTGAAATTTATGATGGCATAAGAGAAGAAAAACACAGGAAAATGTGGTGAGCAGAAACCCATTGGGGGAAACTCATTTTTCTTTTTAGGGAGAGAGAAGAAGAAAGTCATTTATCTAAGAAGAAAATGTTTCTCTCACTGAACACACTACTTCCTGGCCTCATGTATGTGGTTATGCAAGGGAACACATTCCCTCCTTCCTTTCTTCACCTTCTGTGCCCTGTGCTTCTCCACTGCAGGAAGATGTGGGTGAAGGGGCTATGTGTGGTCAGAGAAGCCTTTCACACACATTCTCAGAAACAGGAAGAAGGGAAAGGTTGACTAGTATCCTCCTTTGTGGAATTTGTGTCAGTGCTGTCTAAATTAACATTAAAAATTCTCTATATGGGAAAATCTACTATGGTTAAACTGAAAATTTTTATCATGGTTGTGGTATGTGTGACATCGATCTTTGCTTTGATCTCCATTTGAATCAACGTTTTGAAAACCTGACAAATCCTCTTTCCACAAGATGAATTTTTTCCCCTTAAACACTAGGCTACTTTCTCTAAATTATTGTCAATTTTTAAAACTTTGATTTGGGCACATTTAGAGTGTTAAAACTTTGAAAAATGAATATGATCTAAAAATTCATCTACAGTTTATCTCTGTTTTATTTTTAATTTTATACTGTGGTTTAAAGAAGAGTCCATCTCTAAAGGTAGTTTGACTTCCACGGTGCTTGTTAAAATCAACCTATAATCTGAAGCAGTCATAAATATTTCTGAGGTAGGCATGTCAAGCACAAACAAAGCATAATGGAGCATGGTAACAATGAAGAAACAATAGTTACTACCACTGATATAATAATAGTAAAAACACTGATCATAGCAACCTTACATCTCTACTTAATTTTCTGAAAAAAACACCACCAGAACAGAGAAGCCCACAGCAGGTGGAGCCGCTATGGTCTTCCTCCGCTCAAGTTCAAACGCTGCAGCTTACCAAATCCAGGGAAACTAAAACCGTCCGATCATTTGTAAGATTTTATTGATTTGACTTATTACAAAACTTAATTGGCTTAATATATTGTTGCTTTGAGTCAAAAAGAAGGAAGTAATCTCATGGTACGCCATAAGCTTTATCTAAGATTAATGATTCAAAGATTATTGACTATTAAATGATAATATCGTGATGCACAGACAATGTGTAGGTTGTTATTGTTTGAATAATTTCACTGTTACGCACTAGAGTGTTCTGAAATTTGGTGCCCTGTCCATATTATGAAAATGGATAATTGGTGAACATTTTGAAGTACAGAAATACAATAAAAGAAGGTGAAACTGTTGAACTTCACGTGTCGACAACAGTGATAAATTGTTCACAGCGGAGATTTAATTAGATCAGAAGAGCCTGGAAGAGTGTGAGGTAAAGAACAGCAGGACAGAAAAGACATCAGTTAGCCAGAGCTGTGGAATGATCTAGAAAATGGCTCAAGGTCTTTGTCTTTTAAAGACTTAAAATTTATTGTAACAACAGACAGATGAGAAAGCATGAATTTCAACATTGTCCTTTCTACCTTGAGTTACTTCTGTGACTGCCTGCTATTTTCTCTTCCTCTCCTGTTATTTAGTTTCCAATGTGTTTAACTTTCCTCTGAGAATCTTGAATCCCGCTGTTCTAATCTGCTCTTTGCCAACATCCCTTTTCTTCCTCCCTGCCCATGACCGCGAGTCGGACTTTAAGCAGGACTCAGGCGGCATTTGGCATTTGTGGTGATCTTTGTCCACTGTAACTCACCACTTCTTCATCACAAACACTGCCACTGCTAGGGTTTGAATCTCATTTTTCTGCATCGCTTATCTCAAATTTCATATGGTTTTTCAAGACTGCTGTCACTCTGGTCTTCTGTCACTCTTTATATCCAGTCACTACCGCAGCTTAGTTTTCTACCAGGACCTAAGTGATGTGGCCTGTCTTCTTGCCATTCCTGTGAACATCAGCGCTCACCACTGTTCATCTTCCCCTTACTCTTCACACGGAACCTACAGCCCCATTTCTCTTCCTCTAAGCTTCTTTCCTACTTCTTC